TGGAACTCATACACTACAGTTGGAAATGCAAAATGGTTCAGCTTCTCTGGAGAGCAGTTTGTTCAACACTGACCACATAACCCACCAGTCCTACTTCTAGGTGTTTTCTTTGTATAAATTAAACAGATCCACACAAAAACCTGTATATGAATACTTGCAGCAGCTCTATTCATAATTACCTGAAACTAGTAACAATTCAAATGATCCTTGGTGGGGGAGGAAATATACAAATTGTGGTATAACCTATAAAATGGACCATTCCACATTCAAAGCTTTGAACTATTAATGCATGCAACAACTTGAATGGATATAAACTATTCAAAGGTACCTTGCTGAACAAAGTATGTCAATCTAAAAGTACTCATATGATAGTCCTGAAAAAGTTGAACTAGAGTAACAAAACAAATAGTTGCAAGAGGTCAAGGATGGAGGAAGACTGTGATTGAAAAAGGACAGCACAATAGTATTTCAGGTGTTGGAGCTGTTCTGCATCCTGGTTGCAGTGCTGAATACACAAAACTACACAAATATATAAAAATGACAGAAAGAAGTTATTGTTATCATTGTATATTAACTTAAAAACAACAAAATATTAATACAAAAATCTCATTTCCAGCCATAAATATTGAGTGGTGATCTAATGAAAAGTTTGATATACTATAAGAGATGGCGGTAGACGGAAAATCAAGGTTATGTTTGTGTATGGTGGGATGAAGGAATGAACGAGAACTAAACCCTTATCTTTCATGGCACGAAGTCCAAAGACAATTAAAACTAGAAAATCAGGAAATTATATACAAGTTAATGAAAGAGAGGTAAATTCTAAAAACAGCAGCTAAAAGAGATAAAAATGTCTGTTTTAGAAAATGAAAAATGCAGAAAGTGTCATGGGTTGGGGTAGGCTCTAGGCTATCTACATATAACCACTTGGTTAAAATAAAAATAAAGTATGTTCTCCAAAAAGTACAAACCTATTTCCTGATGAGTTTCACCCAATACTGCTTCTCAATACTAGTTTCAAACCACTGTTATACTTGTCCAGATCTTTGGGACAGTAACCTACACATCAAAGCATTTCTTTACTGTGATCAACATTATGTTGCTACAGCTTTGGTCTTGGTGACTGGTGAAGAGATCATTTGTAATTCATCTGTGAGAAATGTTCTATGACACTGAATGCAGTAGAGCTTAGAGATCTATTATATTCCAATCACTTATGAATTCCAATTCATTTATGAATTATTTAATTGTATTTTAAAAACTACCTTTTCTTCTCTTACCTCATTTTCTTCCTTTATATCCCCTGGCTGAAGGATGGGCCACTGTGGATCTTCTTCATAGTGCTTATGTATTTTGAATGAACTGAACTTGGAATCCTTTAATAATTCCTTTGACACAGATTTAAGGTGACTTAAAGACTTCTCATCATTAATATCTTGCTAGTAGATATAAAAGAGAAATTATTTTCTATAGTAACAATTTCCAGAATCTGCATTCCTCTACATTTTGCTGGGAATTTTTCATTATGATTCACACACTTGTGTAAGCGCTACTCTCTTTTCTCATTTCATTTATGACCCTAGGTCTTCCTGTTCTGCTCAACTATGTCAGGTAAGAAACACTGCCAAGCATATATTAACAAATGTCTACAGGATAGCTTGCAGATACAAAGAACCCAAAGGTCCCAGCTCTAAAAATGCTAAAAATATGGCAAAATACATATCAGGTGATCACAGTGCCATCTTCTGAGTACAACCATCATAGAGATACATCCAAAACATTACTCAGAGAGGAGGATGTCTGAGAAACTCAATAATGTAGTTAACTCACAGGATGTTTAAAAACAATAGGAGCCAGCAAGGACTGGGTATACAGAGATATGTGTGTATTTGTGGGTAACATACAGGAGTCTTGCTGCATCAAAATACAAAATGAATTAGGATAGGGGAGTTTAATTCTTTTTTTCTCTTTTGTATTATTTCTAGGCTCAAACTATGATTCTTTGAAGATATCAACAAGATTATTGATATCAAAGATAAAATATTTGAAGATAAGATATTCAAAATAGGGGATGGAGAGATGGTTCAGTGGTTAAGAGCACTGGCTACTCTTGCAGAGGACTGGGGTTTGGTTCCCAGCAGCCACATGGCAGCTAACAGCTGTCCTAACTCCCATTCCAGGGGATTTGATGTCCTCTTCTGACCTCCATGGGCATTGCACAACACAGGTGCACTTGTATACATGCAGGAAATACACTCATATACATAAAATAAAAATAATGTTTTAAAAAGAAATTCAGAATAGTCAATGAAATTAAAATCACTATTCAAGAATGAATAGATAAAATTCTTCAAAGGTAGTAACAATGACTAAGGAAGACTTGGGTTAATTACAGGCTAAACTAATTTTAACATTAACTATTAATCTAAAATTTTTCTACTGCTTTTCAAATGCAGCAGGAGAAAGTCATATGTTTTGTTTGAGACCAGGTCTTGCTATATAGTTTAGGCAAGTCTCAAACTTGTGATCCTTTTGCTTCAGTCTCCTGAGCACTGACATTAGAGGTGTGTGCCACCATACACAGTTCCTGGATATTTTTCATGACAAGTCAATATCTTAGTCAAATGGCTTTACCTTTTAATCTTTTTAAGTCAGCAAATATTTACTAAAAAGAAACCCCACCATTTCCAAAATGCATAGATATAATACCTATTAAATAAAAGAATATTTTTACATTTTATGTTATGCAAAGAAAACATTTTTTGACCCTTAACACATCATATATCATGAAGAATATCAAACTCAAAGGATATGTCTGTTTATTTGTTCAAGAAACATGTTTTTCCTTTGGGTTTCACTTTCCCTTATCTACAATGGGTCAAAGTACCAACCTGGGAAGGCTGTTCTGAAGATTAAATTACCTAATACATGTGAGTAGTAGTACCTGTGATATAGTACTAGTTCAGGAAATACTGTTCCTATTCTTATCTGGGCTGCAGCAATACATAATGAAAAAGATACTGTAATGCTGTCATTACTGGGTGGGAATAGATATCTGGCAGTTTTTACATGAGTAAATAAATAAGAAGGCACAAGGAGCCAGGTGTGTTGGCACACACCTGTAGTTCCAGCACTTAGGAGGAAGAGGCAGGCAAATTTCTGTGAGTTCAAGAGCCTGGTCTACGTAGAGAGTTCCAGGCCAGCTGGTGCTACAGGGAGACACTCAAAAAGACCCCCGCCCCATGCCAAAAAAAAGGGGAAGACATGAGGGAGGGGCTTCTCATTTAGGGTTAGGATTAATGTAAGGGAACCACAAGTGCCCCATAAAAGCAAGGAAATTTAGTGTGAGAGAGGAATTATTCAGGAGGAAAACAGGATTGATGCAAAGGTTTAAACTGACAAATTATTATCAATACACAAGAGTCTCAGTTTTTTTCTAAGTCTGGGAAGTCTCATTTCCTTCATCTACAAAATGAGGATAACTATAGCTAATAAAAGGAATTACAATTGCAAAAACCTCTTACCACGGTGTGCAATACCGTCACTTTGGATTGCAGACTTATCTCCCTGTCTTCATTAAAGTAGTCCCGCTGGGAAGGATAGCTCAGCCCTGTAAAGACTGTATCACCTGGCACTCCACTGGAGTTAGTGTATAATGCTAAAGGGTTTAGATCTCTGAAGCCCTAGGATTAAAAAAAGGAAGTAGCATTTAATTATATAATTTAACTAGGAAAGGTAAAAAAGGTAGCCCTTTCAAATGCCATTGAAGTATATCACCTATTAAAATTTAATAGTTGAAAATTTTTTCCATATTGACAGTTTACTTACAAAAATTAACACCAAAATGAGAGATCATATGATTCTATAGATAGCACTACTGCTAATTACAAAATAATTTGAGAATGCTGTTCTTCTCCAGAATGATCTTAGATAACTAAATACTTTGGGGTAAGAGAGAATTATTCAGTCGAGGACAATTAGAAAAACACTGGTTTTGCTTTAATAGACATCAGAAAATTAAAGTGATGCTCTGCATTATGATGCCAGGCACCTAATGGGCATCTCTAAGGTTGAAGAATAAATCAAGTAACTGTCCATATTAAATTCTCTTATACCCTAAAGTGGGGTGTTTAAACAAAAGATGTTGAAAATGCATCTAGAATACTACACTAGATGGGGCATTTTCTCGGCATACAATAGCATGGCCTTCTGTCCTCAAGACATGATGGAAATAGACATCTTCATTTGAGGATGTATCACAAAGAAAAATGTTAAGGATTCCGTCTATATATTCATCCACCACTCCCACTAATGGCTTCAAACCACACAACTTCTGGAAGTGCAAAATGGCTTTGGATGTCCAGTGTTTCTGAAGTATAATCGAGATATAGTTATGTGATAGATTTAAACATGAATTACAGTAATCATACAAAAAATGAATTACTATGAGCTAGTTTTCAGTGGAAAAATAAAACCCTAAAAGTCTAGAATAACACATAAGATACTTATAATTTTTTAAAATATTAAAAAATGTTTTTATTTAGCTTTTGTACATTTCATACAACAGTTCTTAATCAAATTAAGACCCCCTCTCCCCCCATCCATGCTCCCCATACTCCCTCCCCACTGAGCCTCATGTATTCTGTGATACATGTTAAGTCCCATCCAGTCAAGCATTTTATCCAGATGTCCTTTGGTACAAGTTCATCCACTGGAGTCTATTCAGCCTATCCAGAGATCTTAAAGAAGGTCTACTACTCTCCCTCTTCAACAGCAATCAGCCTCCAACAGTTCTCAGGCTAGGGCCAGTCTGCCATCCATTTCCCCCATACCACACTGGGCTCTTGTCTAATTGAGTTGGCATGAGTCTTGTGCTCAATGCCACCACTGCCACAAGTTCACCTGAGCAAGCTTCCGGTGGCCTGAAAACCTCTGTTTCCCTATGTTCATAGACCGACCTTGGCTCCTACATTTTTTTCTCCCCCTCTTCTGCAATGGTCCCTGAGCTGTAGGTGGGTGAGGTTTAATATAGGAGTCCTATCCAAGGACACACACTCTGCAGTCTCTTAGTCTCTAAAACTTATTTTTTATTTAATGTATATGAGTATATTGCCTGCATTTAGGTAGGTGCAACCATGTTGTGCAATGCCTGCAGAGATCAGAAGAGGGCGTCAGATTCCCCTGGAACTGGAGTTACTGATGGCTATTAGCTGTTATACAGGTGCTGGAAAATGAACCCAGGTCCTCTGCAAGAGCAGCCAGTGCTCTTAACCACTAAGCCATCTCTCCAGCCCAAGATATTTATAATTTTAAGATGAGAAAAATCAGAAGAAAAAAATGATTAAACAAATGTGACTATGAAAAAGTTTATCTGATGAAGAACTCTTCTTTATATAAGCAGTAAGTTATTAGACCAACCATCAGGGAAACACAAATCAAAATCACACTGAGATTCCATCTCACCTCAGTCAGAATAACTATCACCAAGAAAACCACAACATACTCTGGTGAAGATGCAAGAATAAAGAACCCTGATTCACTGCTGGCGGGAATGGAAATTAGTCCAGCCACTATGAAAACCTTTTTGAGGTTCCCAAAAAAGGTAAACATAAAACTTCTTTATGACTCAGCTATACGCTTCTGGATATACAGCCAAAGAATCAAAGTTAGTTTTACTGATGCTTATTGTGGCACTATTTACAGGTTAGATGTCCATTGAGAGATGAATGGATAAAGAAAATGTATCATATATGAACAATGGGAGTTTTATTCAGCATAAAGAAGAATCATGAAGTCTCCCGGAAAAGTGATGGACTTGGGGGGGGGGGGGGAGAGAAAGCTCCATGGTTAAGAGCACATACTGATCTTCCAGAGGACCTGCATTTGAATCTCAGCATTCATGTCAGGTAGTTCATAACTGCCTGAGGTGAGATGGAATCTCTAGGAGATCAGATGCCATCTTCTGGCCTCCATGAACACCTGCACACATGTGATATACACTCACACAGATGCATATACATAAATAAAAGAAAAAAGGGATGGAACTAAAAATTATCAATTAAGTGAATTAAGATAATCTCACAAAGAAAAGTATTGCATATTTTCCTTCATGTCTGGAATCTGGGAGTGGGCATA